GAAGGAGTGAGAGGATTCACCAAAGCGGGAGATGTTTTTTTTCAAGACATATGCGTGTGTCGCTTTAGTGTGTGCATGTAAATGTGTGAATTTACATAATCTACTGTCTGTGTGCAGGCATTTTTTGCATCTCCTTTCTTCCCAAGGATTCACCTTCTCGAAGCAAAACCTATTTGTTATAATGGAAGGCGTCAGCTATTTATCATAATATGATTATTCACCATGACACATCCAGTGATTAGTAAGATGGATGGTCGCTCTGTGTTGAGAGTCTCCATCAATGACCTTGTGCATGTTGCCTGTGCGTATTGTGCCACCAAATATGCTGCCGACTTGCAGCTGCAGTGTTTTGATTCATTGACGTGGCATTCCCTTCCCGTTTGCTGTGTACTTGCATTAGAAATGCTGCCTGTTCTGTTACTGTTTAAGCTGACATCACTGGATTGAGTGTATAACCTGTTGGTTGGTCGATGAGAAGGTTTTCACCAGTTTACTCAATATGGATCTCATGTGCACTCAACACTTTTCGGGAAGAAGAAAAAGTTGCGATTGCTCTTTGTAAATACAGGTAGGGGCTAAACGTGCATTTGTTAACCGACAGGTGCGATCACAAAAGGAATACCGTTTGATGACATCATGTGCTGAACGGCATATATATATATATAAAATTTTTTTTCATTTCATTCATATATCCATTTTCCCATCCGGTTTATTCTCACATGGGTCATGGGGGGTGCTCGAGCCTATCCCACCTGTTTTCGGGCAGTAGGCGGGGGACACCCTGAACCGGTTATCAGCCAATCGCAGGGCACACAGAGACGAACAACCATCCGCGCTCACACTCACACCTAGGGACAATTTAGAGTGTTCAAGTGTTGATTTGGACCTTGTCTCAGTCACTTCCGAACTTCCTGACTGCAGAAGAACCATGAGGAAATGATTTATCGTTCATGCAAACCTCTGTCCAGTTGCTATCTCACGTTATTAATCACTACCCAAGTGACTTTTTTTTTTGTGCACCCTTTGCAAATGGCGACCCTCCTATACCTCAGTGAGGTCGAAAACCATGTGGTCCTCACTCAGCCATTCAGAAGAGATCACCCCACATCACAGATGACATCACTGTAGCATTCAATCAATCAGCAGAGACCTGGAGTGCATCTAATTTTCCCTTTCCACTGAAGCTGGAAAAAGGGCGCTAAAGGAGCCTAGCTCACCGAACATTTCTATACTAAACTTCTAAACTAATCATGGTAGGCTGATGAAACTTACATTTTATGGTTGAATAGTTGTGCTTCGGGCAACACTGTGTTTGACTGGTTAGCACGTCTACCTCACAGTGCAGAGGGGCAGGGTTCGATTCGGGCTCCAGCCTTTCTATGTGGAGTTTGCATGTTCTCCCCGTGCCTGTGTGGGTTTTATCTGGGTACTCCCATTTCCTTCCACATTCCAAAAACATGAATTGCAGGTTCATAGAACACTCTTAATTGTCCCTAGGTGTAATTGTGACCACGGATGGCTGTATGGGTATATCTATGTGTGCCCTGCAATTGGTTGTCAACCAGTTCAGGGTTTACCTTGTATAGTCAGGGCATGCTCTGTCAGTTGTCAGCAAAACGGGTGTCCATCACTGACGGACTGAGAGGTCTGTCGCTACATCAAACAGTGACGATTACAATGACAGACAAAAACCCCTCTCTGTCATTGCTTAGTCTGTAATTTTTTCCAGTTTCCCATCATTCATCAATCATCAGCAAAATGGGTGTCCATCAGTGATGGATGTTTTGTCAGTGCTGGTTACAAGCATGCTTATCGTTGTAATACAACTATGTTTATTTACCTTGACGAGACAATGGGTAGGTCTAGTACATTACTGTGAAGCACCACATCCATCCATCCATCCATTTTCCATTCCGCATATCCTCACAAGAGTCGCGGGGGGTGCTGCAGCCCATCCCAACTGTCTTCGGGCAGTAGGCGGGGGACACCCTGAACCGGTTGCCAGCCAATTGCAGGTGAAACACCACATAAAATGGAATTGAATCGTGGCAGGAAAAGTAACCACAGGTGTTGGCATGTTTACATAATCTCTGGTTATTCATCACTGAAAGGGATTCACTTCTTTTGTATTATGGCTCTCAGTGTGATTTTGTTGGACGTGGATGAATGAACCTCTCAACGTTGTGTGGATGAGACAGCAGATAATGGAAGGGAATGACACATGCAGACTGATCTGTTCAAACCGCAAGTCCTCATTTCCAGAACGTATCTTATGTTACATCCTCACGGGTTCTTGTGGTGGTGAAGTTGCCTCTTGGCTCAAGAGCTGTTTTTGGTTCACAAGGCTGCTTGAAGATGAATACAAGATATTAACTTATAACCTCATAAAAAGTCAGCAACGTGATATTGATTATTTCAAGTTTAAAAGGTAGTTGCATTCTTCAGTTGGCACAGGGTCTCGTTCTCTCTTTATTTGATAAATAGAAGGGAACAATCTGTCAACACTGAACATTAATCACAACAGTAACTTTGAATAGACATCTTTTTTCATGTCTGTGTGTCGACTATTAGACTGGACAGTTACTCCAAATTTTAGCCAAAATGGTCTTTATCCTTGCTGATTTCCATGCTATAAAATGTTTATCCATTCCATCTTGTAAAATTTCATGGTTCCTTGACTTTTTGTCATGAAGCACTCAAATAATTTCTTTTTGTCGTATTTGCGCCCATCTTCCTTAATTGCATATATTCTCACATCATTTATCAACAGCAATTTTTTCATTTCAGATCTCTTGGTAAAACGCGAACAATACATGTGCTTCGTATTTCCAAAGATCACAATATTGCTTGACTCTCCTTTGTGTATCCAATAAATTTGCATTCATTGCAAGAGGCTTTCATACATTTAACCAATCTGGAGCAATTATAAATTTAGAATCTTGCGAAAAGACACTTAAGGGTGTCCAACCTGAAGTCTTCGTAGTGGGAAAGTCATATACAGGCAGTGTTATTTTTACCAAGCTCATTCAGAACCTCAATATCGTTTTCTCTTTGTGCAATTCATATTGTGCTTGAACCAAGCAGACAAATACATGAAGGTTAGGTCTAGCATAAATAACATACATTCAAATGTATCAACAGCTCATTAAATGTTGCACAGTCCAAATCTTAATCCCCAAAATGGCTATCCTTTCTTTATACGGGAGACTGCATTGATGTCACATTAGAAAGTATTGGTTGATGAGTGATTGTAAAATGCCTATCATTTGTAGAAGGGGCATCATTGTTTTCAACCATCTTTATCAAGTAATGTATTTAGAATAGCTTTTGTTAATCATAATAGCATATGCAATTCAACTGGTCTATTCCATTGGCAATCTGAGCCCTAACCTCTTGTGAAAAGTAGCAGTTTTGCTTGGCCAAGACGAATGGGTCCCACTGAAGAAAAGTAGATGAGGCGAGAGAGCATAAGCATCAGGGTGAACAGAGGCAGTGGGTGGAAAGAGAGAGAAACTGCAAGTGTGGGAGTATCCTTCAGAGACACATTCATCACGGTATAATTGTAGCCCCCTTTTATAAATTTAGAAGTACATCACATGACAAGCTGAGTGTATTAGGACTGGCTTTGAAGATATGGTGGATGTTATCTCTGAGCATGAGAAAGACTCTTCTCATGTACCACTGGCAATGATTTCATTGTGACTGTAACATAAAGACTAGTGGTTTTAGAGCCGAGGCTCTTATTTGGTTTTTAGCACAAATACACATGAGGAGCCCTGCACCTCACCGATAGAAATCAGTCAACCATAAATGAGTGAAATTCTAAATGAAATGTATAATAAGATTTATTCATTAGCTTCACTGCTGCAAATTATGTGTGAATGAGCGTAGCATGCAGTATATGGATGGACGGGCGGACGATCGTCATCTCATTGAAGCCTTGGGAAGCAAGCAAATTGAGGCACTTAAATTTGCTTGTGGCCACAATTCAGCTTTCTTTGTTTATGAAATTCCACAAAACCTTTTTGAGGTTGAGATTTGAAATGTCCCCTAAATTGACTTGTAAAAAGAGCCTTGAATTACTTAAGCCAAAGGTGTCAAACTCGAGGACCAGGGGCCAGACCTGGCCTGCCACCATTTATGTCAACTTTCACACACACACACACACACACACACACACACACACACACACACACACTGTGTGTGTTTGCGTGTGTATTCCTTTCTTTCTTTCACAATAATTACATAAAACAGGTACAAAACCTTTCAGATGAATGTTGTGATGAGATTTGAGGCAAAATAAACAAACTAGTGGTAGCAAAGTAAGCTTCTCTTCTCATTGTGCGCTTCTTCAGAAAGCCTTGCTCTTGTCTCTCAACAAGTCTCAAACGGGGGATCATCTTGGCATTTGTTTTCGTGTGCAGGAGATTTGAAATCTGGTTTTATTTGTTGACCTGTGGAAAATTCATTTTGCGAGACCTTTGCATTATCAACAGTCAAGGGAAATAATCTGGCAGTTGTTTTGGATGTTAAATAACACTGGTTTGACAGGCTGTAACACTGCTGGGAACTGAGCACAATTCATGTTGGCAGAGAATTAAATGCGAGATGATATCTGCAGCTGTGTGTAAATGCTCTCAGTGTAATTTTTTTGAAGTTAATTTTTTAAGTTATTTCATTCACAGATGTGCAAAAATAAACTGAGCCCACCTATTATCACACAATGTAGTGTAATTTCATTGTAATTAGTTAAAAAAAATTGTGTGGAATAAAACTGAAATGATTTGTAACTAATGAGAAAACAGTGCAATGAAGGTCAAATCTTTGGACAACCTTTCTCAATCTTCTGAGGGAAGAAAACTTATGTTTCCACTAGTACTTTACAGGGAATGAATCTCTTTCAAACATTTCTAATTCAGAAGTCTCATACCTGTTGACAAAAGCGGTGTTGATTTATAAATTAATCTGTGATTCTATTCTTTCCTTTCTTTCTTCCAAAGGGCTGAACCGATTCTAACCCGAATGAAAGAGGATCATACCCGCATCATTTTGCCCGCTATCGACAACATCAAATACAACACCTTTGAGGTACAGCAGTATGCCAATGCCGCCCACGGCTACAACTGGGGGCTGTGGTGTATGTACATCATCCCTCCACAGGAGTGGCTGGACAAGGGCGATGAGACGGCTCCTATCAGGTGAGCACCTCAGCAAGTGAACAACATTCATAGTAGATGAGGATGTCTGATTAAATATGGATAACTGGAGTCTGTCACTTATTCATGTAGATACCCATCAAAGTAAGATCCTTTTCAGACCGATGTGCCGACCAAACACACAAATAAATAATGTCATTTAAAAGTCATTACTCATTACCATGATAAATACAGTTAGTCGTATGCAGAATCACAAGGCCACAGCAATACGGCATCATTAATGTACTTGGATGGCATCCAAGGGCCAACTTGGATCACATTGTGTTGTAATCCTTAAATTGGTTATGCGTTCTTTGTAAAATAAATAAATAAATAAATTACATTGAATTTAGCTGAATTTAGTGTGGGAGTTAACACAGCTGGCTTCTTACCCAGGCAATGGAAGCGGCTCCCCTCATTCCCTTTTAATTCAGCGCAGGTGGAGGTGCACGTTCTTCATGGTGGAAAGACTTGCTGGGATCCATACAGGATATCAGCATGCACAAAGCACATTTAAAAGGAACCACAAGATCTCCACCTTGATGATGTAAAGTTAGCCGCTGTGAAGTAGGCACTTAGAAACCGCATTCTACCCCTGATTGTGCATCCGTGTGTAACAACCCAACCCATAGTTAAGTCATGGTACTTTTAAAAATATATTAAAAATCATCATAGTAATGATTTGCCATTGAATTGATTTCTACAATGATTCAGGGATTAATGTATGCTGTCATTTTATTTAAGAATGAAATACAATAACATCCCCTACCAATGTTTGCCGAGCATTTGATAACTTCAGAATTACCACTTTTTAAAAAAGTCATTGGCGCCATAATAAAGTCACAATCAATGGTAAAGGTGAAGATAGACATCTAGGAAGGGAAAAAAAATGGAAAAAGTGACCGTATTATTTATTTTTCTTATACATCCATTCGATTCTGTTTCAGGTGTTTTGATCCTCGATTAGTTGTTCTGAACAGTATGAACATAATCTAGGTCAATCTTGTGATTCATAGACATGCATCATTCCACTCACGCCCATAACAGTATGGCATGGCTTGGTTACCATGGCAGCATGTCAGAACCGTTATTGACATGGATGCTCAGTAGATGCATAAGCATCCCAAAGCAAAGAGATGCACAACTGGATTACACATGATGCTTTCAGTCGTTAAATATCACGCGTACAAATGGAACAAGCGGGGTTCCGGATAAATGCACTTCCTTTTAATAGTAGGTTATTATAGGACACTTCTCTGAGTAAAATATGGTTGAGGATGAAAATGCAGCCGTGCTCTAGTTCAGTGATTCCCAACCAGTGTGCCATGGCACATTTGTGTGTCGTGAGAGTTCATCAGGTGTGTCGCCTTATCCAGTGTCAGTTATCAAGATGAAAACTATTTATTTTCTATTAAAAAAATATTCTTGTGACTTTATCTTGGCAACCACCTTTATTAACAGGCAGACGAGAATGCTCTTCCACTAGATGACAGAAGGTACACAATTAACCGGTGTATCCACTTTTTGTGAATCATTTCGCTAAGTGGTATGCCTTGACATATTTTCCGATGGGGAAATATGTGCCTTATCTCAATAAAGGTTGGGAAACTCTAGTTAACCTTTTGGATCTGAAACATAACGCAGAACAGAAATGCAAATAGTATTTGGGATTTATTTCAGTTATGTCCCATGCACACCATCATTGACGTACAGTGATCCCTCGCTACTTCGCGGTTCGTTTACCGCGGCTTCAGTGCATAGCGGATTTTTTCAAACATAAAAAAAAAAAAAAAACTTTTTTTTTTTTTTTTTTTTAAATATACATGGAGTACAGTACTGTATATGTTGCTCTGTGTGACTCGCTGTTGTTTTGCAGCTTCTTGCGGATCGTTTGCAGACTTTTTGCGGACTTAAAAAAAAAATGTTTTTTTTTTTACCTGTATATGTTAATTGGTCGCTACTTCGCGGATTTTTGTTTATCGCGGGTGGTTTTGGTCCCCATTAACTGCGATAAACGAGGGATTACTGTATTCATTGTAGCATAGCTGCAGTCCTGTGCACCTAACATTACTTTCGGTAAGGCTGTGGACTATTTCATTTTATTTTTGTTTTACTTTAACGTTTGTACTTTACTCACAAGCTGCTTATGGACAGTTTGCCTCAAGGGCAAAGCGTTTCAGCTGTGTGGATTTCTATTGGAAATCATTCGCCCACTTGTTCCGCAAGGTTTCTTCCCATCAACAACAGAAGCTGGGTGGCCAGTCAAAGCTCATTCTCAGTGCCCTCTCTGGCCGTTTGAACACCAGAGACAGAAAGAGGTCACAAGAAAGTACAAGAACAGCATGCTTGCGGTTATTCTTCTGATTATGTGCAAGACAAACTTTGAGGTCCCAGAGGTTCAGAACTCTTAATTTAGTGTGAATGGCTAGACAGATATTTGAATCGTTTTTTGTATGTAAACTGTTTGTCACCTGAGATGAAGGGAAAAAAAGTATTTAAAAAATGAGCCCACAATGCCGAAAACATCTGGAGAACAATAAAAACGTGCAATAGACATTTAAAAAAAGCTTTCATGTCTAGTAGCAAGTTATGGAAATGTAACTAACAGTAACAAGGAGTTGCACCAGTTACTACTACCAACATGACAACTAATATTGCCTTTACCAGCCGGGACCAAGACTAAAAAGGAGCAGGCTTGGTAAATCGTGAGCAAGGATGTTGGAGTACCTTATGAGGGCATGTGTGTGTGTGTGTGTGTGTGTTTGGGTGGGTGTGTCAGAGGAGAAGAGCCCCTCCTGTCAACTCCAAGAAACCCCAGTGTAGTCACCTTGCGTGCAGACACAGGCGAGACAAGCATCACATTGCGATATTTCACATTCGCTCTGATAAGTGAACCACTTCTCGAGCCAGCCAGAACTATACGTCATCCATGACGTCATTTCCCTGTAAACGAATCACACTCCGATACGTGCTTCAGAAATTCCATTCTGGGTTGTTCGACATGCGGTTCGAAGCCTCAGCACATTTTAACTAATCACTAGCTGATTGCAGTGTATTTAGCAAGGCTTCATCCATTGTCCGCTGCATGAGAGAGCCAAAAGAGCAGTAATTTGCTCCGCCACATGTTGAATCCCAGTCCACTAACCACAACCCCTTGTTCAGCAGCAGCCCTACACGAAACCCTGAATATGTCTGTGCCCGGAAGTCTTTCGTGATAAATAATGTGTCTGTATTTCAACAAATCATTGCTCCATGCCTGACAAAATACCTCAGGTTTAATAGGTTTAATCGCATGGCATTTGAGCTCAAGCTTCCGACATGGATACTCGGTCTTATCTGAGAACTTGTGTGTCTTTTAGTATGCGTTTTTTAATTGGTGGTGTGACATGTCAAAGGTGGTACAGAGAGCCACATGGAAGTTTTTTGTTACGTTATGTATAGTACCAATATGAGATGGAAGGGAAAGAATAGCTGTGGGTAATAAACAGCGCAATAGCAGTTTAAAAAACGTGTAGCGTTGGTCATGAATGGAATGACGGCAGCGTGCCAAGACCTCACATTTGTGAAATGGTCAGACAGCAGCACGATAGGATCCCCTGGGTTGGTACCAACGCTATTATTATGGGCTGGTTTAGGTATTTGCTGCCTGAAGAAGTCAAAAGTATTCATTTATTTAACCTTTACTGATCCAGGTGAGGTGATAGAGAACAGATTCTCATTTGCAATGCTGACCGGACTACCAGACATCGTATTAAATATTGTCTCATATAAATATTAAAGTCATGCATGATTAATATATTATCTCTGTGGGTCACCAAGTCAGCCACAAATTCAGAAAATTCATTTCAAGAATAAAGGCCAAGGGGACGGTAGTAGTTGCTGCTGAAAGAGAAGTCCAAATGATTTGAAGCTGTTGTTAAATGTAGGACTGAGTTTGAAACCAGATTCAGAGATGAGGGCCTATCTTTGAAGTGCACGCAACATGTGAGCTCACAAAGTCTATGGGAGATGCTTCATTTAATGGAAAAATTAATTTGATTTTAACCAAATCAGAGAAGGGGACACAGGGGGGATTATCCGCAGGCAGTCAATTTAGGGTGGGCAGACAAACAAGACAGGTGGGAAACCTCACATCAACAAGCAAAGGACTGGAGGTGCTTACTCAAGGTAGACTTTCTAGCGAGACTACAAGGCCTTGCTATGTTGTTCTTTGAAACCTCTAATTGCCTCTTTCTTGAAACGTTACAGCCCACTAATTATATCAGCGAGTGTTTTTAGCCTGTCCCTTGTGTCTTAACTTGTTTCGCATCAGCTCTCTAGTTGTGCATCTCATTGTTCGGTAGTCTGGCCCAGGTATACACAGTTAACAATTTACACAGTAATTAAACAGTAATTTTCAGCTTGATGTCATAGGTGATGGAGTCACCTGTGATAAAGGTGTGGGGAGTCAGAAGACTGAGCTCGAGTGGGACTCGTTGAAGTGGTGAATCTGGTATGCTTCTTAACAGGCTCTTTGGTGCTAGCAGGCTGCGTGGGGCGATGCGAGTTAGACGAGTAGGCTGGCTTTAAACTATGCTGTCAGGTCTGCACGTCACATCTACGGGTATCAATTTATTCTCCTCTTGCTGACAGACACATCCCTCTAGCAGGTACAGTGAAACTCCTCTACAACGAAACCTACATGGGTGAAAATACCACAGCGACCTCTACTGCTTCGTTTGGAAACAGCAACAGCAACCACCACACTGGTTTACACATGCGCAGTAGTCCAGGAAGTATTTGTTACTGTTAGTTTCAGACGCAGCACGAACGTTACATTGCTAAAATGGCTCCGAAACTGACCTTTGCAGACCAAGGAGTTAAGAAAAGAAAAACATTCACGCTTGAAGACAGGATAAAAATAATAAAAATGAAAGACGGAGGAAGCAAAGTAAAAGACATTATGCAAGAAATTGATATAAGTGAAAGTGAATTTTGCAATTTCCCGTTGTTTTCTTTCTACA